TTTTTTTTCACATCTCAATTGTAATCCCCGCGGGTTTCCCATCACCAAGTCACCCGTGTGCCATCACCATAATCACGTGCATTTCCCTCCCGACTCCACCCCCACAAAATATCTCTGGTATATGGTTGTTCATTATTCTTGTTATTTTCTCGCCTGACTTCCAGCATCTTTTAACTTGTTAGAGGAATGCTGTTGGATTCCTGATTAGTAAAGTCAATTCAATTTTAAAAATAGTTGAATTTGCTGACAACATATTGTCTTAAATAATCTTCAAGTGTTTCACAGGTCCTTTCCTTTAACGAAATCATTAGCTTACGAAAAGTTATACCTTTCATTTTTGTGTCTCCCAGAATAAAGCCAAGAATAATTCTGGCCATCAACAGTAACAAGTATTCCCTGTAGGTTTTCTGTATAGTCTTGGTAGACATCCGACATAGAGAAAGTATGTTAAAATATACAATGTTATGGTTAGAGGAAGGGGGAAATCTTGCCAGGATAAGCATACTCAAAGGCTCCAAAGATTGGGTTAGGAAAAGGGCTTTGCCATAAGAAAATACTACACCTGAGAGAACAAACATTGTACAAAAAAAGAACAATCATGTAAAATACATATACATGGATTATTTTAAAAAGGAGAAAATACTAGATTGGCACCTCCTTGCTGGCACAAGATTAAAGTCTCAGGGTTAACAAGTTATTGCCACCCACTGCAGCATGAATTCCATCCCCAACCAGGGAGGTGACCCACATGGCGCAGCAGACCTCTTGTCTTGCCCTCTGCCCCCCTCAGCAGTGTATTTCAGTACATCTGCCTGTTCTGCTCCCCACCCTGTCTCTGGTCAACCCTGTGCCCCACCAACCTCTGGCCTACACCACAGTTCTGGAATGCATGAATAAATAAAACTCTTTAAAAAAGAAAATACTAGAGACGTCACCAAAGTGGCAATGGGGCTGAAGAAAGACAGTTTTGCTGCAATCATAGGCTTGGCTTTACAGAGTGGAAATGAAGATCAGCATTAGCTCCCTTTCTTACACAATGACAGTCTCTGCAACTGAGCAAACTCTCCCGATACCTGTCCAGGTTAACCTGGTCACTAGTTGTGTCTAGCGATGCAAGTACACATGACTTAGGGTCTGCAGGCGGAAATAAGCACCAGGCCCATAGACCAAACAGTCGGGGAACTGTTGCCATAATAGGCAAGAGGACGCTGACCACTGGCATCTATAGTCGAGTCCTCTTCCTCCCAGGAGAGCTTCCGTCTGTGGGATTACGGAGAAAAGCCTCGAGCTTCAGACTTCATTAAAACCGGGGAGACTAGGGAAGGGGTAACGGCTGGGGTCACGCAACCCATTAGTGCAGGACTCCGCACAGAACCCATAGCGGCCACCCAGTCTCAGGGAAGGACACGCGTCCCCTTCTCAGACCCTCCCCTGCCGCCCCTCCCTCCGCCCGCGACGTCAGCGGGGGCGGGGTTTCCGCTTCCGGCGGCGGATTGTTGACGCTTGCGGCTGCGGCGGTGGCGACCGGGCCGTTGGGGCGGGGCCAGCGGGGGAGGTAGACGGCGCAGTGACAGGACGGCCGCGGCTGCTGCTGAGGCGACGATGGCAGAGGGGCCGGAGGAAGCCCGAGGCCTCCCTCCCGGACAGGACGATGGCGGGGGGGACCGCCAGCCCGTCCCTTCCCTGAGAGGCCCT